GAGCTGCTAAAGAACTTGTTAAAACCACCTGTTCTCCATAAACTACTGAAATAAAATTAACAAATTTTTTTAAATGAGCTCTTTGATTTTGATTCAGGAATCCTGAAATCCAGAATCACCAGAATAATTTAAAAGAGGTGAATGTTGGCAATCCAACAATCCCACTACTGGGTATCTACCTAAAGGAAAAAAAGCCACTATATCAGAAAGACATCTTCACATATATGTTTGCTACAGCACAATTTACAATTGTAAAGATTTGGAACGTCCCTAAGTGTGTATCAATTGATGAGTGGATAAAGAAAATGGGACATGCACCATAGAATATTACTCAGCCATAAAAACAAAATAATGCTCCAGCAAGTTGCATGGAGCTGGAGTCCATTATTCTAAGTGCAGTAACTCAGGAATGGAAAACCAAATACTGTATATTCTCACTTACAAGAGAGAGCTAAGCTATGGGTTCACAAAGGCATACAGGGTGGTATAATAGACACTGGAGACTCAGAAGCAAGGGAAGGGAGAAAGGAGAAGGACAAAACTCTAGTATAGGGTAGAATGTACACTACTCAGGTGACGACTGCACTAAAATCTCAGACTTTGTCACTATACAATTCATTCATAAAACCAAAAACCACTTGTACCCCTAAAGCTATTGACATTTTAAATAAATAAATAATAAAAATTAATGAGTAAACAAAAAGAAAAAGGGAGGTTGAATACATGTTTGTGTTACTTCAAAATCACACTCAAAATCCCATCAAGTGTGTTTGAAGAGTTATAATGTTTACTATATTTATTACTTATAAAGCATGAATTAATACAGGGATTTCATTTATCAGCTAGTTCTAAAACATATCTTTCACCATAGCAGATGCTAGTCTATAAATTTTTATATTGAAAAATTTCCCTAGAAAGTTTAAAATATATAACATATATGTGACACAATCTTTAGCCCTCTAGAAGAGTCATCTATGGTGATATAATCCACATCACTCTATAGTATCAATAAAATCAATAATCATTGGCAGAAATTATTTTAAACTTCTATTAAAAGGCCAAATTAATGGCAAAATTATTAAAGAACAATGATAAAGAAAAGAGCTACAGAGGAAGAATTTGAGTCTAACAGACTGTTTTGTGTTTGTTGGCTACTATAGTCTGATGTTTACCTAGCAATAGTCCCCAGATTATTATGGTTTGTGCTAACTGAGGAAACAGTCCTTGTTTCATTGATTTGCACACTTTTGCTCAATTGAAGTTAACAGAATGGGCCACAACTGGAAGTGGAAGTCTCTTTTGTTTAATTTATTTGCCACAGTAATACTATAAAGCCAACCACAGGAATCTCAGTCCAGCTTGGAGTCTAATGACTGAATGAAGAGGTAGAAAACCAAAAGTGGCAGCCAACACATGACAAGAATCTTCATAAAGCAATATTAGAAAATGCCTTGAATAATGTCATCCATCTACAATGGCTACAGTTTCAAACTGCCTGTATACAGAGGGCTGACTAGATGACTTTCACAGCACAAATACGTTTTTAGAAATTTGACCTCATTTCAGGATCATTCACTATGCTTTACATGCAATCCAGAATGCTGCACACATATGATATTCCTTGCTCTCTAGAAGTTTATGTTCTAAACAAAATCCTAGAAACCTTATTTCCCCATAAGGCTGACTTTTATATGTCTCCTTTGATCACAGCACAAGGATCTACCCCAAAAGTTCAATTTATATCTCAAAGAAGGGGAGGGAGCAAGGTGAAGAGAAACAACTGAATTTGAACCCATAAAAGTTATTTAATACACATCAATATTATACCTAAAAAGTAATCTAATGAATTCATTCTTTATATACATAGCAGAATATTATCAACAAATTTATAGAGCATTGTTGTATTAGGAACCATGAGAACACAAAGAAGCGTAAGATATCTGATTCCTGTTCTTTTTTTAAAGGGTCCGATTCTCCCTCTCATTAGGTCCAATTCTCCCTCTCATAGCCACTCTTTGAGTGACATGTACAATGACAACACTCTCCAACTCAAGAAACTGCAGGACAAACATATATACCCCCATAGGTGAGTGGGAAAAGTGCAGTACATGACTCATCACCATTTAAAACAGTTACATCACTGATGGTCTACTGGAATTACTCCATCATCTCCCTGTAACTTTAGAGTTTACTTTAAAAACCCTCTAGGCTAGGTGAGGCTAGCCTTACTTCCAGTATCATGTAAACCACTGACATGAAAACATTAAGATGAGTTTAAAACTATGCAAAAATATGTAAAAAGAATCTACTTTTCTACAAATACACATAATAAGGAATACTTCAACAAGGTATATATATTAAATTTTATTAGTTTTTATTGTTTCCATTAACTCGGATATCACTAACAATTGCAGAGTTTTTTTCTTTTATTAAATGGTTAAAAGGCCTTCAAAGCTAGAATACAATTTACCCTTCTCTGAGGAGTGGCTGTTTAAGAGGGATCATTAGCTGTAATGTAGAATATGAAGGCATGCCTCTCCCATCAACAGCTGACAGTCACATAAGGTAAAGGTGGAACATCAAAGAATAAGGACTTACTTGTGAGGTGGAACTCAACAACTATCATTTTTAACATGCTTTTAACCATATGACATTTCAATTACTTTTTTTACTGTACTGATATCTTAGTTGTCCCATTTTTTAAATAAAGAATATACCAGTAATTGACCAGAAAATAATTACTACACACCCATACACATGAAATTCTATAAATAATTTGTGGCTAGAGGAGAAGGATGTTAAAGTGATCTCTTTCTGAGATTTTAGAGGCCCAGTTTCCTCATTGTGTTCCCACATAAATACTCTCATTGCAGATATTTCAAACATTATGCCAGACTTATACAGATAAAAATCCTGGAGTATGTGTTCTGAATGTGTTGGTAAAGAAAGTCACTTCATTTGAGAGGTCTCTGCCCCTTCAACCTCACCCTCCTTACCAATATACATTCATCACTGAAAAGGGAAATATTTACAAAAGTTAGTTTAGTTATGTTTAAATATTATGTTTAGCTGTCTGGAGACCATGTTCTCAAGATTTATACAAGAAATCAAGGATTAAACTTCATAACAATTAGAAAACCACACTGTGTAAAATCAAAGACTTAGTTAAAGGAAATTAAAATAGTTTTGCCATTGGTGCTAAACTGAAATGGCTCCATCTCTTCCCAACACCTGGATCAAAACCTTTTGCACTTTCATGTAAACAAACCGGGGCATGCAAAATGCTCTGTCTGCAGTAGGGTACCACCTCTGCACAGGCATTTGGGTGAAAAATGTGGAAAATGCCTAAGGACTCTTTGAAGCAGCTTAGAAGTGAGAGCAGGAAAGAGGCTCTTCTCTAGGGTAAGTTTGTTTAGTAGAAAGTAAGCAATTTGTCAGGGTAAAAGTTGACAATGTTGATTCCAACAGTTTGAACTGTGAATAAACATCCAAAGGGATTATGTTACTGAGAATTAGAAAAGATTCTACTAAACTTAATAGAACACTTGTGTTTTCAAAGATAATATGCCTTCAAGCCATACTCTGGAACCTTGGTTTAGGGTTAGAATTACCCTAAGCCCTTTCTATGCCACATTAAAGAACACAAGGTCTGACCCCTCTAATAAATGCCTAAAAATATTAGACTAATGATGGAATAAAAATATTTCATTTCCACTTATTGAATTGGAAAATACCCACTCCCCCACACACTCACATATTTATACACACACACATGCACACATACATATGAAGTTGACTAAAAAAACTTGAAGAAACATCTATGCTCTTCCCAAACATCTAAACTTAAACCCAGTTTCAGTAACCAACTTAGGGAAATACATGCATTGGCCATAAATCACTTTTAACTTTTCCCTTCTTAATGGCCTATCAAAGAGCAAAAAACAGGGCCTACACTTATGAAATCCATAATCCCCTTCTCTGCTCACCAAAGCTACATTTAAGTCTGGCTTTCATCTCATGCTTTGGGGTTTTTCACCAGGTACAAGATGAAAAGTTGGAAGAGTCTTGTGCTTTTCTAAAAGCGAAACAATTTGGTTGCCACTCAGCAATTCCTGGTGACATGCCAAGAAGCCTGTAAAAAAAAGTTAAAGTTTTCCTAACTTAGAACTTACAAAAACTAGTGTGAGATGGTCATAGCCTGTCAGACAATCCATCTTTTTGCTTTTTAATATTCATAAACAAGGGAAAACACATAGTTTTGATTTGTTAAAGTTGATTTGGGTCAATATAATGCAGGTCTGCCTTACATGGTCTCAAGGAAATGTAGGTAACTTGGACTGCTCTTCTGAGTTCACCTCAAATCTTTAATGATTCTCACATAAGATTCTGCTCTTACAATGTTTTCCAAAGCCTGACAAAAGCATGCAGCTCGTTTGCTCATTACCAGCAAAGTTTGCAAGCAGCCTGCAAAAAATAGTTTCTCCTTGTAGCTCTGACACATTTTCACTTTCCTCCTAGAACCAAGGATGTAAGGAAGCATGGCTCAGTCTCATAGCCTCTTTGCTCTTAAAAAGAAAATCAAATTCCCCAGATATTTCCAGACTCCACCAAGAATAGAACATTCTCTGCTCTGCCTAAGGACCATTATCTCTTTTACATTTCATCTTTATATTCACTGGCTTCATAGGAAGGGCATACACAGAAAGAAGAAAATAGCTGCTTCTTAAAAGACACCAAATTTAGTAATTCTCTCAAATCTACTGGCACACATCTAGAAAGTCATATTTTTAAAGGCTTCATTAGGTTTTTATTGGTTCTGTGTTTTGAGAAGAAAACACACGCTGAATCACCAGTAATTTCAAGTCAAAATATATCTGCAAACTACAAGAAGTGTTTGTAATAGAAAGACAAGTCACCACAATTTAAAAAGTGATATAGTGGGTAGAGACAGACAGGCGCATACCCCAAGTAACAAGTTGCTAACTGAATGCTCTAAGAATTCAACCAACTCCAATAGCCTTACCTGTTAATATGAGATTACTGTAAGTATTGGAGAATTGCTCCTTTAGAAGAACCAGATGCATCTGAGCTGCCTTCTCCCTTTGGAGCTCCAGCATAACATCAGGGTGCTGGGCAATCTTGCAGCCTTTCTGTTTATCTAAGGCAACATCACTTCGAACAATGTCTACGAAAAGAAAGAAAGAAGGCAGGCAGCAAAAACTAAAACAAAACAAAAAATAATATACCATCAAAGTCTTGCTTTACCCAAAATGACAGAATTAATAAGCTTCTGGCATTTTCATTAGCCTAAACAGATGCAGAAGTAATCAATCAGAAGGCTCTCCAACTCCATGACACATCTTGAAAGTTCCTCTGGTCATTTCCAAATTCTTGGGAGATCTATCTGTTTCTTAGCTCTCTCTGCCATAATTTAAGATTCTCACTCCTCAGTTCTCCTTCATGGCTCACCTTCAGGACTTATTTACCTCCTGGGTAATAAGAGATTTTTAACATTCTCTTACCATTTTCCATAGGAAAAAGTATTATAATACAATTTTGAATACTAGTGACTATGTAGGTCATTCTCTCTACCTCATGCTACAGGACCAGGTGATAGCTTCAGCATGTGTATTTAAGGGTACTTGGTCTATTTTTTTAAATTCACCTTCCAGTCAGCCTACTCAGCTCAAGTTAGAACTGCTGATCTATGGCTTACCTGGTCAAGGTTTTTTCTGCTATTTTTCATGTACCTTGAGTAAAATAGCTTAATTCTGACTCAGAAATCATTCTTTCAATCTAGAAATATTTTTTGAGTCACCAAAGAGAGCAGAGGAGGTCTAGAGTCATGGGAGATACGGCTTTTCCCCAATTATTTTCCCATACTGCTTTTTATACTTAAGTATGATTTTCATTCAAAGCAGATGTAGTCTCCAGAAAACAGCTCCCTCAAAAATAAAAATTCATACAGAATGCTTCCCAACTAGCAGGAAGCTCTCATGCCCTAAAGTTATTTATTAGTTTTTATATAATCATGTATTCTTACATAATACATCTATTAATTTACAATTAAGTTAATTTATTAAATTAATCCGATTAATTTATAATTGTTAGGTTAATTTATTAATTTAATAATTACTAAAATGAATTTATTTAACATAATTATTAATTTAATTAAATTTAATTGATTAAAATATGATTCAACTGATTCCCACAGGAACAAATGATATCATCAGCAGTAATCTAGGTGGAAACTCTAAAAACTTTCAAGTTCTGCATAGCAAAACTAAAGAATTTTAATATAGAAGACGTTAAAAAATAACTGCTTTGCTACTTTTGACACCAATGATTTTGGATGGTACTAAAAGGAAAGCTATGCTCAGTGACACTTAAGAGAAAATATAGGTCATATGGCAAAAAGGGTAGAACACTGTTTCGAAGAAGTAGTCTTTTCTTTTATATTTCTAAAGGAAAATCCCAGCTACAAAGACAAATCCATGACTATGAGAGTTAGGGTGTGTGACACACAAAGATAAGCCAGATATGAAAATGATCTTCACTAATTCTCAGGTTAAAACAGGAGAGCTGAGTAGAAATCATGCAGTATTTATGCCTAAACATATATATACCAATTTCTGGAATATGGGAAATAAAGTGAACTCATTTAACATAAATAACTAGTCTCACAGATTTTCTGAGACTTAAATACAAAAATTGAATAAATTAGTGCAAGAATATACCAGCTTTTAAGACAATCACATAGAAGTCAGGAAGAATAATAGAGCTTAAATTGATATAAATTACATTCTTTAAAACTTCTTGGATTACATCATCTCATTCAATCCTTCTAACAATACGATCAAAGTAAATAGCCGATATTGTTGACAGCTGACCCAAACCCTAAACACAATCCTTTCTCCCTTGCCTTCATCTATTATAGAGACTTAAAAGCTACAATATACAATTTTCTAGCTTTCCTTGCAGAAAAGGGTAATCATGTAACATGGTTCTGGAAAATGAGCTGCAGGCAGACTTCTCCAAAAGGGAGACTTTCTTTGCCAAATTAAAAGACAGAGCCTCACTAAGAGAAACTCAGTTTTTCCCTTTAGTCTCTTAGTCCCTCCTATTTTCTATCTCTGAAACATAGTCATGAAGCCCAGAGTTCTAGCAGCCACTTTGTAGTCTTGAGTCAAGATGCAAGAGTGGGGGTCGGACACAGTGGCTCGCCCCAGTAATCCCAGAACTTTGGGAGGCTAAGGCAGGTGGATTACTTGAGGTCAGGAGTTCAAGACCAGCCTGGCCAACAGGGTGAAATCCCATTTCTACTAAAAATACAAAAATTAGCCAGGCATGGTGGCACATGCCTGTAGTCCCAGCTACTCAGGAGGCAGAGGCAGGAGAATCACTTGAACACAGGAGGCAGAGGTTGCAGTGAGCCCAGATCATGCCACTGCACTCCAGTCTGGGCAACAGATACCATCTCATAAAAAATAAAACAAAAAAGAAACAAGAGGGTAAAGGATTACACACTAAAGGTGTTAAACAGAAAAATGGAAAGAGCTCAAATCCCTAAGGTCTTTATTGACCCAGCATACCTGTGCTAGACTGCCTATCTCTTAATTTTTCGCCATATGAGACAAACATACTATTTATGTAAGTCATTAATAGTCAGTTACCTGTTTTTAAAATCTTTACCTGTTGTATAATCCTAAATGATAAAGAACACCATTATTATCACTATTTTAAATACAAAAAAACTGAGGTCCACAAAGCTTGACTTGCACAAGTTCACATTACTTGGTCAGTCCTCAAATCCAGGTATGTTCAAAGCCAAGTTCAGTGTTCTTTCCAGAAGTTACTTCTATATGAAAACTCATGAGCTTAATAGTAGAATTATGTTAAACAATAAAAGGAAGAACTAAAAAGAAAAGCTGAATTATACTGTTACAATGGTGTTCCATACATAGTCCATGTGGAAAAGAAATATGGATGATGTTTTCTCAGAAAAGATTATAAAACTTGTATCAAAACATGTTATAAAAACTGAAGGATAGTTTCAATTATCCTGATATCTTCTGATATAAGTTTAATTTGAAGATAACACCAACTCCCTATTTCCTATCTAAAAAAATATATTGCTCAGAAAGCAGCAGAAGCAACAATTGTTACTTACATCCTCAACATCATTCCAACAAGAACCTTGCAATAAAGTGATGACATTACCTTTATATTAATAACAGTCAGAAAAGAAAATGATGAACATGCCCAAGCATATGTCCTAAACTTTAGAAAAGTAGATTTCAAAAATGTTTCGAGAAAAAAATAGATATACCATATAAAAAGGAAAAGTATAGATTCCTTATTCAACTCTAATCATTTTAAATTGTATCAAAGACTAGATAAATACAAAGCAAAAGTATATATCAAAGATGCACATGGTAATATATCTGGAGGAAGAGTTAGTATCATATATGACACACTCAAAATTCAAAATTATCTTGGCAATCTAAAAACTTACACTGAAATCCCAAAAACGGAAGGTAAAGACATGAGCACAAAGGCCTACATTTATACTGAAAATTAATAACATAAGATTTAAGAAGGGAAAGCCAGGCCAAACAGGAGCTCATATACTTAAGATCTTATTAAGATTTTTAGGCTTTAGTTAAATATCAACTTATTATAAGTCAGTGCTATGATATTGCTGTCAAAGTGATTAATGCAATCTTTGTCTACATTAATAGAACAAGAACATGCAGAATAAAGAAAGCAACACAGTTGTGCTACATTCCATGGCTACCAAGTGCAGCACAGTAAAGAGTTTGGAGTCAAGCAGACCTCTGTTCAAATCCTGGCTTGGTACCCACTTATTAATTACAAAAGTGGTAGACAAAACACCTTTCTAAGCTTTCATTTCTTTATCTACTGTTATTATACAGATACACAAAAGGCATTGCACTATTCATACAATAAGAGCGCAATGAAGAGTACCTATAAGTTGTTATTAGTATCCTGCTTGTGGTACTATATATTTCCAGCTATAATAGTCTCAGATAGATCCTGATAACCTAGAGTATATCCAAAGAAAAGTACAAATATGGAAAATAATGTTGATCTTTTAAAGTAGCTGAAACTACAAGAAATAATTAAGATCAGAGTAGAACTGAAAGAGATAGAGATACAAAAAACACTTCAAAACCTCAATGAATCCACAAGCTGGTTTTTTGTAAAGATCAACAAAATAGACTACTAGCCAGGCTAATAAGAAGAAAAGAGAAAAGAATCAAACAGACACAATAAAAAATGGTAAAGGGGATATTACCACTAATCCCACAGAAATACAAACTACCATCAGAGGACACTATAAACATCTCTACACAAATAAATTAGAAAATCTAGAAGACATGGATAAATTCCTGGACACATACACCCTCCCAAGACTAAACTGAAAAGAAATCAGAATCCCTGAATAGACAAATAACAAGTTCTGAAATTGAGGCAGCAATCAATAGTTTACCAACCAAAAATTGTCCAGGACCAGATGGATTCACAACCAAATTCAACCAGAGGTACAAAGAGGAGCTGGTGCCATTCCTTCTGAAACTATTCCAAACAATAGAAAAAGAGAGACTCCTCCCTAACTAATAACGAGGCCAGCATCATTCTGATACCAAAACCGGCAGAGACAAAACAAACAAAAAATCAGGCCTATATCCTTAAGGGACATCAATGCGAAAATCCTAAATAAAATACTGGCAAAACAAATCCAGCAGCACATCAAAAAGCTTGTCCACCATGATCAAGTTGGCTTAATCCCTGGGATGCAGGGCTGGTTCAACATATGCAAATCAGTAAATGTAATCCATCACATAAACAGAACCAATGACAGAAACCACATGATTATCTCAGCAGATGCAGAAAAAGCCTTAAATTCAACAGCCCTCAATGCTAAAATCTCTTATTAAACTAGGCATTGATGGAACATATCTCAAAATAATAGCTATTTATGACAGACCCACAGCCCGTATCATACTGAATGGACAAAAACTGGAAGCATTCCCTTTGAAAACCAGCACAAGACAAGGATGTCCTCTCTCACCACTCCTATTCAACATAGTATTGGAAGTTCTGGCCAGGGCAATCAGGCAAGAGAAAGAAATAAAGGGTATCCAAACAGAAAAAGAGAAA